AATGGGACTGGAAAACAGAGTTTAAGGTACATCTTGAGCACATACACCTCCCATGCCTTCCTTCAAGGAACAGCTCTTCATCTCCGCTGGTCTCCAGTTTGGACACAGCTCTTTGTAGCAATGTTTAGAGGCTACTACTTATGCCTTTCAGAGGACCTGTTTTTATGGCAAGGAAAAGAGTTTGCTGGTCATAACCATAATTCTGTGAATATCCTGAAGTCTTTCAAACAAGTTGGTGCATTTTAGGATTTTACTAGCAGTTTCAGGTCAGAAAAGAAAAAGGCTTTGTGGAGACAAGATGAAATCCTCCACTAAAACATACCATTTTCATAAGGAGAGTGAATGAACTGGATGGCCCAGCTCTATTGCCAGAAGCCAGCATTAAGGAGTGCTTCATAAGCTTCCAAGGGACTGTGTTTTCCTCATTGCTTAGCCAGATGGGCAAATGGAGGCACGAAGGCTTTTCACGGGAAGGTTCAGCTGACCTGGGAAAAGAAGGAAGAATGGCACATGACAGTTCTTCAGGTAGCTGCTACCTGGAAAATTGTTCTGGCTGAAAACACTGCTTAATCAGGCTGAAAGCGAAGTGCCTATCTTGAATGCATAGATTTAGAGCATTGCACATTTTTTGTTATTGCACAGCTTTGTCTCACAAAGGAGGGCTCCCACTGTCGCAATCTGGATGCTGTATTTCAAAACATTAGTCAAGGATTAGTCCTTGGTTCTGATTTATGACAAAGCACCAGTGCCACAGAGGATTTATAACCCATGTAAATGATTCATGGAGAATGTGTTCTACGAGATGGGTCCCCTGTGCATGTAAACTGGAGCGTGGTCTTGATCCACAGGCAGTGGTGTGTGTTTCCTAGGCTGCCTTGGAAAACCAAGGACCTGGGAGAGTCTCATTGGGATTAATCCTACCCCTCCATCCACTCCCACACCTGATGAGTGGGCTTTGGGAGAGCCACCCCTCTCCGGGGAAGTGGGGGAAGCGGCAGCACAGCCCTGAGCTCTGGTGGTGTCTTCTGTAATACTGACGTATCCCTGTAGAGGGAATGCTTTGGTAAGACTTCAATGAGGCTGTGTATTGCTGTGTTCTATCAGGGACTAAATTCATTTTTTGCATCACCTGCTGAGTTCAGGAGTTAACATCAAGAACATTTTACCCAGTAAGTTGTTGTGCTATCTTTCTAAAATCCTTATCTTGCTATAATTCGCTTTAAAATTTCATCCCTCACTGAAGAGGGTGGAAGTGTCCATCTGATTCAGTGCAAGGGATGGGCTTTCATGCTGTCTTACATGAGCATCAAAAGCTTAAGATAACACGCATATTAAAATGTTTTTCACTGGAAGCTTACAGAAGGCCCCATGGCCAGATGTAACAAGAGGGAATCCATGGTGTGTTGTTTACCAACTGCTCCTACACTTCAGCTAAATTGGCACAAGGAAATCATAATGCCTTCTGAATAACACTAGGAAACGGGGTTTGTTCACTAGAACTAAAACAACAAACCCATCAAAAATACCTCAACATTATGTATTATTTGTGTTGATTAAAAATCTACTTTGCAACACTGAGTTTGTTATTGATCATAAAACCTGCACTAGCCTAGTTCTTTCCCTCCAAGCTATCAAAGCATTTAAACACCTATCTCAACCCAGCCCCCGGTTCCACTGTGCCCATAGATCTCCTGAGCCACAGACCCTTTCTGATACCTCTGCTTTAGCACTGCTGCCTTGCTTTTCCAAGATGAAGGGATTTTCCTCTACTGCAGTGTAAGGTCCACTTTGAAGGGAAGATGAAGGAGCAGTACAGGTGATGATGCACAGTATTCATGTGACTCAGGTCACACTCACTCAAACTCACTGACCCCATCTTGCTCTCTTCATTGTTAATAGAGGAGTCTTTCATGGGGTGCTCATCAGGTCCAGGTGCCATCTGGACACGTGGCAGCTTCAATGCCACCTGTCGAGCATACAGACCTCTGGATACCCAAATACAGCAGGTCACCATGCTTCAACAGCCACCTAGGCACCAGAATGACAGCAAACCCCTTGTGGATGGCATCAGGGTGGATCTGTGATGTTAACGTTTCCGAAAGCACAGACATATCCACTGAATACTGAAAACAAGTCTTAATCATCACAGGGACTTCCTCTGTGGATATTAATAATCTCCTCGCTTCCTCTGAGGAGCGCCCCTGTCTGCTGGGCTCAGTCTCTGCAGAAGCATCAATAATGCTCAAACTTTGAAAGGTTTCACCTAGGAAAGACAGCTTTTCTTGGGAAATTGATGAAGCAAACATCAGGTAGGCCCGGCAATAAACTGCCCAGGCGGGGCAGCGCCACGGTGTAGCATCACCTGTGCCTGTGATGCAGATCCTGGAGGTTTCTCTCCCTTTTTGACTTCAGTCAATGATGAACAATTGCTTTGTAGTGTCCCCCTGCTCTGCTCCTCATTCTCCCGGCCACCGGCCAGAGACCTGGTAGTCAGATCAACGCTTGGGAGGGTCTGGGAGAAGCACTTTCCACTTCCTGTGGGGAAGGATGTGATTAAAACCTTGTAAATAAGAAGCTTGGCTCAAAAAATGCCTGGGTGCCTTGTAGACACAATGTAGCCACGAGCTGTGGCTCAGGGTGGTGAGAAGCAGGAGATGGGACACAGCCTGGTCCCAAGCCACGCTGGTCATGCGTGATCTGTCTGGGACCTGTCAGAGGGGTGCCAGACCCCAGAAGCAGTGACCTCTCAACACGGACACCTGTTCCATGTCCTAAGGGCTGACACTGCTGCTCAGATGGCAGCCTCAGGAGAGCCTGACCAACCATGGCCAGGACTGAAGCTTCTGCAGAGCTGTCACTAAGGTGGGAACCCAGGTCAGAGCACAGCTGTGGTCCTGGGTGGTCCCTGCTTTATCTGCTCAGACCAATTCCCCCTGAAAGAAGCAAGCAGGCCTCACCACTGGCTGTACAATGTGATTCCCTCCTTTCTAGGGAATTACCCTGGTGCATGTTTGTGCTAGGGAAGGACTGTCCTCTTCACATCTTCATGTCTGTGCAGTGTGTTACCGAGAATCCACCACCCGCAAATTCCACATGAAGTGAACTAGTCTCTGTGCTCTGTCCTAAGCTCCTCTTACCCTTTTGATAATAATGGGATAATAGCTTCTTCAGGAGAAAAGGGACTACAGTGCCTACAGATGGAATGAAGGAGAAGAGAAGCTCTGCTGTTTTGCTTCAGTAGGGAACAGGCAGTTATCTTAGTTTGCTCAGGGTATATCTGAGTTCAGAAATCCAGGAACAGAGGCTTGTGCAGAAAAACATGAAGAAACTGCAGCTTTACCAACTGAGACTGAGGAAGACAACACCAAAAGGCAGAAGTTGCAATCCTCCATCCCTCTCTGTTCCAACGTTCCCTCCGTGCACATGCCATATGCTCTGCATCCCACGCTCTGGCATCGGATTTGATGTTTCTTTATAGCTAGAGGGTGTCTTGACCAGCCTTCCAGTGTCAGAAACCTAAGGTTGCACCGGATTAACCCTGGAGCCAAATCGTTTACTCAGGTTCATCAGGAACACAAAGCTGGCAATTCCCTGGGGCTTTTTAAGGACTCATGCTGTGTCCTGGTGCATCTTTAATTTTTACAATGTGATACTGGCCAAAAAGCAGCCCACAGAGAGATAGCATAGCCCAAGGAAAAGTGCATTAGACAGAAACTCACAGGATGTGATGCAAGGATATAGGAAATCTGCCCACATGTTGCCTAGGAAATTCACTTCATGAACTTTTCATACCCTTTACTAGGTTCTGTCCGATGTGTGCAGAAGGGATGCTGGCACGCTGGCTTCCTGGCAGAAGGACCACCAGAATCTGGGTAGATTTTACCGAGGAATAAGCATTATCTGCGTCTTAGGGCAGTTTCCTCCCGCACCACTGAGGTCTAAAGGAATATGCCGCTCCCGGGAGCAGAGAGGCGGTAGGGATGCTGGAGCCGACTCCTTCAACCTGCCCATGCAGGAAGGACCCGGGGACAAAGGCGGCCGCCCCAGGGGGCGGTCGAGCAGCCGGGCAGGGAGGTGCGGGGCCGGGGCCCGGTGACAAAGCCCTGGGCGGGAGGCAGCGGCAGCGGAGATGCTCCGGGAGATCCCGCTCCGCTCCCGCGGCTCCTGGTCCCTCCCCGCGTCTGGACAGAGCGGGACCGGGGCCGCTTCGGCGCCGCTTCCCCGGGCCGCCCGGCGGGCGCGTTTTCCTGCCTGTCCAACCCCACCCTTTCCCGGGATGGGGTTCTCTCCGGTAGCTTTCGTCTAAAAAAACCCGGGAAAAACCGACAAAACCAACCAAACAAAAAAGGCAAAAAGCAGGGTGGAAGCCCCGGGGTGGTGGTGGTGGGGGCAGCGGTGAGCCGGAGCGGGCAGGGCACGGCAGGGCACGGCGGGGCGGGCGGAGGGCGGAGGGAGCGGCCCCGTCCCTTTGTACCTGCCGTTCGAAGGCGCCAGGCGGCCCCGCATTGGCTGCGGCGGCCGCGGCTCCGGTAACCCGAGCCGGGGCGGGCGCGGCGCACCGGGCCCGGCCAGCGCCCAGCCCGGCAGCCAAGGGGGTGGCGCGGCTCGGCTCGTCTTGGCCAGGCTCGGCTCCCTCCGCTCCGCCGCCAGCAGCCGGCTCTCCTTCCCCGCCGCTCGGCTCGGCTGGGGCAGGGCCGCGCCGCCCTGCCCGGCAGGAGGTGGGACCAAGCCCCGGCGCGGCCGCCCGCCTCCTCCTCCCTCGCTCGCTCCCTCCCTCCCTCCCGAGGGCTGAGCCATTCCGGGAAGGCGCCGGTTCCCCCACCGCTCCTCGGCAGCGCCGCACCGGCATCGGCCGCCACCGCGCCGGGCTCGGCCCCACGTCGCCGCGGGGCTGCGGGCGAGCGGCGGCAGAGCGGGGCAGCGGCGGCGGCGGCGGGGGCGCGGTGCTCGGTCCCCCTCGGCGGGGAGCGGCGGGAGTGGCGGGGGGGGAACCCGAGGACAAGTGGACGGAGCGCCCGGGAACGGGGGGGCGGCCGCCGCGTAGTTGTTTTGCCCGGGGTAAGTTGACCGATCCCTGCGGAGGCTTCGCTTGGAGCGGGCAGCGCTTGGCTCCCGGATAACCTGTCGCCCCCAGGCCCCGGGCAGGGGGGGCGCCTTTTTTTTTCCTTCCCCCCCCCCCACCTCCTTTGGTTTGTGGTTTCTTTTTATTATTATTATGATGATGATGGGGTCTGTGGGGGAGCAGAATTTCCAGTCCGGCGTTGCTCTTCTTCCTTGTCCAAAGCTCAACGGAGAACTATAATATTTCTTTCCCGAGATGCTGCAGTGAATTTTAGTTCCAGGAAATCAGGCGAACGAAATAATCCGAATAACCCGAACCATTTGTTACCCAGTGAGAGCAAAAGCAGTCTAGGCACAGATGATGGCAAAAAATTCCTTGGAAGGGTCTAAAGAAGACCTGAGCAAAATTTCAGAAGAGGAGATGCTGAGATGGAGCAAGGAGGAGCTGGTGAAAAGACTAAGGAAAGTGGAGAATGAAAAGATGAACTTAATGGTGGAACACGGCAACTTGATGAAAGACGTGAACCGTCGGCTGCAGCTTCACCTGCACGAGATCCGCGGGCTGAAGGAGGTGAACCAGAAGTTGCAGGACGACAACCAGGAGCTACGGGAGCTCTGCTGCTTCTTGGACGACGACCGGCAAAAAGGCAAGAAGCTGTCAAGGGAATGGCAGCGCTTCGGGAGGCACACGGCCAGCGTAATGTGGAAGGAGGTGGGCATGTACCAGCAGAAGCTGAAGGACCTGGAGGCAAGGCAGGAGACCCTCCTGCGGGAGAACGTGGAGCTGAAGGAGATGGTGCTGATGCTGGACGAGGAGCGGAGCGGGGCCGGCTCGCGGAGCTCCATCGACAGCCAGGCCAGCCTGACCAACCTGAACGGCGGCTCGGCCACCAGGGACGTGGGGGACGGGAGCAGCACCTCCAGCACTGGCAGCGCGGGCAGCCCCGACCACCATCACCACCACCTCCACCACCACAAGGCCGGCGACAGCAAGGCCGGGGCCATGCGGAGGTCTATGGATGACCTGTCTGCGCCCCTTCACCACCGGAGCATCCCGAACGGCCTCAATGGTGAGCTCCTGCCCTCCTTCCCCCCGCCCCGCTGCCCGGCTCCCCCTCCCCCTTCCTGTCCGGTCCCCCTTGGTGGCGGGGTGAGGGACTCCGGAGAAGAGTGGTCCTCGCCATTCCCAACCCTGCTCATCCTTGGTGACCTCTTTGGCAGCCCCAGGGGCCGGGGAGGGGCACCTGTGAGGGTGGGGGGTGTGTGTGGTGGTGCCCCTTGACTGGTGTTATCAATGTCCTGGGTTGAGGGTTGGAGCCTCTTTTATCTGCAGGGTTGGTGTTTTGTTTTGTTTGTTTGTTTTGCGTTTCTTTTTTGACAAAAACCAGTCTGAGTTTTCAGGGTTAAATAAACACTGATTGTGTTCCCACTCTTCCTCCTCTCTCTCTCTCCCTTTAAATATTTTGGTTTGCGTTTGGCTTGTTTGTTTGCTAGTTTGATAACATCGATAAAGAGCCTGGGATGAGATTTTGGAAGCATCTGATGAAAGTGCAGGTCTGTCCCACAGAGCATCACCTGTTAGCTCCACGGGCTCTTAGGGCAGGCTTGCTGTGATGTGCTTAGCAGTTCTAGAGAGGTGCAACTGTGGCTCTCCCCCAGCTCCACTTCAGAAAGAGGAGTTTTGTTTGTAGAGAAGAGGTTACTCTCGAAGGGACGCTGTACGCACAATTTTGTTGAGGCTCGTCATTAAAGTTAGAAACAAGCTCCACAGTGAAATCGTGCCAAGCCTCCTCTGGCAGTTCATAGTCAAGCAAAGTTTCTCCTGTTGTCTAATAGTCATCAGGCATTAAAATATAATATTGAAATGTCTTTAAAATGGAGATTTTTTTTCTCTTTTGAAACCAATAAGACCAAATACTTGACTTTTAGAAGGAGTAATTTATCCAAGAGGGTTCAATAGGAATCAATCCAGGCACCAATCTAATAAATTCTTGTATATAAGACTCTTTTTAATGTTCTTAAACCTCTTGTCCAACCACAGAGGACTGTTTTCTGATTGGGGTGCCCTTTTCCCTCCTCCAAGCACGGAGAGGGGAATGAAGCCCCAGAGTTTGGCTTTGATTGATGTCAGCAGTGGATGTGTTTACCAGATAACCATGCTTTCAGCTCCCACAGCTTTTGGTGGTCCTTTTTTCTTTTTTTTTTTTTTTTTTTTGATGATTTATGGCAAGTCTTTATGTCCCAAGAGATCTGAGAGCATGCAGGTTTGATCAACTCAGTTCACAGGTACTGTGTTCATCCACGAATTTGCTGTTTGTGGTCCTGTTGCCGCAGCTGTGTGTCTCAACTCACAGCTGGAGACATTCTGGCCACCTCGCACAGTAGTCAGGGATTGCTGGTTTCAGGGATGATCCAGTCACCAGATGGTGCAGGGTACACCAAGCATCTTTAAATGCTTGGTGTGGAATTTTTTTAATCTCTCTCTTCTAGTGCTGTATAAATCAGAAGTATCTGGTTTGTAAATCTACAGATAGCTTCTGCTTCTGACGTGACTTGATTTTATTTTCCTAAAGCATTGCTCTCCACAAAGACAATGTGGAGAGCACATGGCAGTTATTGAATGTGTTATTACTGTTTTGGGACAGAAGGGCTTCACAGTTCTGGTTTGTGAACCTTAGACCGTGTCCCTTTTAGGTATTGATAACTTACTGGGGCAAAGCTAGTTGAATTAATCTGTTAACCCGGGGCTCTGGAGTACATGAGGCATCGCCACAGCCTCAGAGCTGTCCCTTAAACCCGGAGTGAGGCACTGTGGGATGCTTCACCTGGGATTCAAAGTCATCCCTGTCTGCACAAAGAGGAAAGTCTCTGCTTGCAGTGCTCGGTCCTCACTGCCCTTCTCAAACACTGTGTGTGGGACTGTGCCCAGCAGTATCATTTGGAGGGGACTGAGAGCTGAGTCTCATGTCCTACCCTATGTAGGATAAGTGTAGGGAGGGATGTCAGAGCATCTGCACGTGCATGTTTCCGTGCCTGCCTTTACATCCCTTCTCATCTCCTGTACTGGAAGGAGGAATATGGACTCGAGCATTTCAGGCGTGATCTTAGGTTTTAGTGACTCCTGATTCTGGGGTGCCTGTGGGAGGTGGTTTCTGTGTGAAGTACTGAAACTCTTTCCTTCGAACCTGTGCAGCTTCATTTCTGAGGGTGCAACAGATGTGATCAGCACTTTTAAAGCTAATAATCCTTGTAAAGATGCAGACAAGCCTGAGCTCTCCACTTAGGTAGTGAAGCTGTAAAATGACTTGAATAGTTGTCATTCTCAGATAGCATCGGTATTCAGCAAGGCCATTTCCCTGGCTGTGCCTTTGGAAGTGCCTCTCAATACATATGCAAATGAAGGGCTTATCAGGCCCCTTTTTTGACTGACAGCAAGTAGTCTGGGAGGGTTGCTTGCCTGGGACCAAGCAACAATTCCGTTAAGCCTATGACAATGTGGAGGAGCAAGTGAACGTGGAAAACAACCTCGATGCGTCAGGTGGCTGGTGGAGCTGTCACGGAGCAGCCCCACAGTGAGCATCCTGCCGTGTCTCCTGGTCCTGTCCCTGCCATCTGTGTGTGCAACCTAGATCTCAGCCTTTTTGTACTCTTTTCGTGGTGAATTTTTTTTCTTCAGGCATAAAACTGAAGGAAGTCAGAGGAAAAATGGACTTTCATTTTTAGGTTGTAAACTTGGTTCTAGTTTGTTATTGTCTCATGTCTTTAAAGCATTGGAGAACTAACTGGTGGGTAAAACAGACACTGCCTGGCCAGCTCATCTAACACCAAAATAAACAACCCTGTGTATTTTCTTAGGGACAGGAGGTGGATCGGAAAGGGACACAGGGCAGAATTCAGCATCTGTAGTAAGAACACAGTAGGAGCCTTGGACAGCTGGTGGGAGCAAGGTTGCTACTCGTGAGCTGCTTGCTAGAGCAGCTTTTGCTTATGGAAAAGCTGGAAAGTCCCGAAATTGGAAGCTGGAAAGTCCAGAACTGTGCTGCCCCTGCACTGAGCTTCACTTGTTAGCGCTTTTCTGGAGGAGTCAGGAGTGTAGTGGCTGTTACAACACTTCTAGGAAGGTTGCTTTTTAGTGAAATCTTAGCGAGCAAAGGTGGGTTAAATGTTTCTCATTTTCTATTCGGCAGTCCTTTGGAAGTGAGTTGTTAAACCAGGGGTTGATTTATTGGACCCAGTGACCCACCTCAGTGTGAGGTGATGAACTCTAGATTTGTAAGGTAAATTCAGTGTAAATGGCGTAAGTGTAAAAAGCAAAACCAACCCAACTGGTGATCCACCTTTGCTTCATTTTTCTAAAGTCTGTTTACTTTTATAAATTGAATTTTGGAAGCTGATGATTAGTTATTCACTCATGGAAGATAAGATAATAAGTATAACATAGTATGAAAATGGCTAATATTAGATGACACGTGTAATCTTGTGCAGCTCTGGATATTCTGCTGAGAGCCAAAAGGAAGTCTGCTTGGTCTGAAAGTAAGTAGTATGTCCATTCTCTATATGTGCTGGGACCTGGGCTGTGGGGCAGGGCCATCTCCAAGCTGTGTGATGGAACTGGCCAGCTGCATGTGTATTGATATGACACAGTTCTCCTAAACCAACCCACAGATCTAGGACAAAAATTGAGGCACAATCACTGTGTGTACTTGTGAGTGCTTTGGCTTTCCTTTATATGCATGCTGTGAGTCTGTGCATGAAAAGTCTTTCTACCCATCCAGCTTTAGACAGCCATACTGAAGGGACTGCCTGATTCCTGACAGAATTAGGTTTTTAAAAAAAGAGTAATATAAAAAAAAAAGCATTGGGTGATATTAATATGACTTGGGGGAAGAAAAAAGCCCTCAGGTACCATAGGATATGTCTCTGGATTGTGAGGTATATGGGAACTTTGGGAGGAGTGACTCAAAGCTCCCTGAGGCCAGGGCAAGGGCTTCTACTGGTTTTAGCCTTATCTAGATCTGACTGGGACAACTGTTTATCCATCTGCAAGCCTGGAGGCATACAGACTGGCTAACTAGTAATGTGCCTGGGAGAAAATCCTATGCATGCAGGCAAAACTTTCGGGCTTTAGTTTTATTTTTTATATTTCAGCTGAATTTTGTCATTAGATCTTCTGAAACTCTTTGCTCTGGATTCCCAAAATGGACTGGGTGGTTTTCAGTGTATCTGACTTTATTCCAGTTGGATGAAATGTTAATGCTCTTTTTTTAATCAGCCTTTTTGTTCATTGTTTTGGTTTGTTTTTGTAAATTATTAGAAACATCAACACTTAAAAAGTGGTCAGAGAAGCCTGGAAGGAATCTGGGGGTACAAGCAGAGAGCCTGTAGTAGTAGAGACATTAATCTATGACCTCTTGCTGCTGTCTTCTCCAGTGAAAGAAGAACAGTCTCTCTGCGTGAGGAGGTGGGAAGATCTCTATTTCTTTTGATTCCCTCTTGTAAATGTCCACATATTTACCTAAAGGGTATGATATATTGCAGTTAAAATGGTGGCAAAGAGAAATGGCTGTTCTCCCCTGTGGGTTGGTATTGATTGGTCATGCAGCTACCCTGTACTTATTTCTCCTCTTCTTCTCACACCCTTTTGGCCAAAATACTTTGTTTTTATTAGTGTATTAAGAATCAATATACGTATTATTTACTATGATGTATTAATGAGGCCTTTGAGATGAGAAGATGCAGGGGCAGAAGCAAAGGGTGAAATATCTCCAGTATAGATTTTAACATCTGTATTCCCTTGGGCTTCCTTTATTGGCTATGTGGAGGAAGGCATTTTGGTGTCATGATTTATGTCAACTATGTGTGCTTTAAAGAGAGAAGAATTGCATGCTAGTTGTGCTCTTTCTCTCTGATGCTCAGAAGGAAGCCTGGCCAGCTAGTTCATATGCAACCATCTAAAGTCAGATGAGATTAGTCATATTACAGGTGTTATGGTGACCATTGCTCACTCTTCCACTACATCTGTGCTAGTTCTGGGGAAGGAGAGGAAAGCACCTTTGTCAGCAGCACTCAG